ATATATATATATACACACACACACATATACATGTATATCCCCCCCTCTCCGTCTCTCTATTTGCCTGTTTGTCTGTCTGTCTGTCTATCTGTCTATTTTATCACTCTCCTGTGTGTCTTTCTCTTCTTTCCTTTCCTATTTCTTTTTCTCACCTCTGCTAATAGAGACACGCGTCGCCCAGTTTGAAATGGCCTTTTTGAGACCTGTGGAGCTTTCCACTAATGCAGTAACAAAACTACACACAAAAAAACAACAGATAGATATTGTCAGATTGTGCACTGACTGAAGTGTGTGCTTACCATATTCAAAAAGTCATCTACGTTGATTATACCGTCGTCTCTGAGTTACAAGTGATAAGTGACAGAGTTCTCGCGGCCAAAATAGCACCTAAAAAGGGGCCGAGTTGAATGTTCAAATGACATTCAATATGTCTGTAAATATCAAACCAACCCGCCTCGCATTTGTATTTTCCAATGCGTCCATGGTATCTTCTTCCCTGTTTACATCTTTCCATATAAAGATCAGGTCTTCCCGAAACTAGTAGGAGTTTGGACATACTCACCCCCTTGTTCTCAGCTAACGATAATAATATTGTCATGTTGATGAACAGCAGATACCAAGCAGTAAAGAGTAACGTTGTGTTATTAATTATGAGGTGACTGTGCTCCCCTTTTCTCCAGTCACACTCAAGACTTCCTGTGTCTCTGAATTCTATTGACAAGAATTAAGAAGAAACTATCTACTCACTTTCCCTTTTTACTTTTTCGCTTTCCTCTCGGTCACCCCGCCGCCTACGCAAATCTATTTTTAGGTATAAGAATTTCACGCTATGTGGCGGGGATAAGAAATCAGCTGGGATAACAATCGGAACACGAGCCACTCCCGCCATAAATTACCCTGGTCTCGCCTTCGGGAACAAGAAGTGCGCTTGCGCGGAATGGAAGCAGACGAGAGTCTCGGGCACGCCCGCGTGCGTTTTTGAATTCCTGGAACAGCTGCAGCGGGACTTCTGAGGGGAAACTAGCCGGTGGTTTTTGGAAGGCGAGAGCCCGGGGTTCTAAATATCTTCCCCAGGATCTGGCTCACGACTGACCGAGGATTTCATAGAGAGAGCGCTTATCGCGTGCGAGTTTAAACTGCGAGTGAAAGCTTTCAGCGGGGGGCGTTCAAAGTCGGAAGTGGGCTGATAGCGGGATAGACGTGAGGAATACATGTACTGGCTGGAGGGTTTGGTTTGGTTCTTGCTTAACGCCCTTCTCGGCTCAAATAAAGTTTTTGTCAAGGCGTGGTGGAAAAGACTGCCCTTTAGTTCCAGTCGTATTTTTCAAATTCTGGATATTAAGAAGAAGAAGAAGAAGAAGAAGAAGAAGAAGAAGAAGAAGAAAAAGAAGAAGAAGAAGAAGAAGAAGAAGAAGAAGTTAGCCCAGAGACTAATTGCAGAGACATTGCAACGGCTTGAAGGGGAGATAGTATTTAAAATTCTCCGGCTTTGTAACAAATTGTGTATTATCTGTTGCTCAATGGCACGCTATTTTAAGCTAGAATTTTTTTTTCGTTCATCATTCGTCTGAAATAAAGTATTATCCTTTATGTATATACAGCTTTGTTTGTTGAGGGGATTTTTGTCTTTGGCTTTGTTTATTTGATATGTTATTTTTTTCTTTTTTAGGGAACTGGGGTCCTTGGGGGTTCACGGAACGACCTACCATATCCCCCCCCCCCTTTTATTATTCTCCAGTCCTTTTCTTAACCCTATCCGTACGTCGTGTTTTACTATCGTATCCATACGACGTGGGGAACTCTGTGCCGCCACTTTCCTAAGAGGAAATTTACTCGTAGATCCGATCCGTACGCTTTGCATAGCAGCCTGTCAAAATAATTTTTTGAGAAATACTGAACGTTTCAAAGAGATCTTTGATCGTACTAGAAGTATTCTAAAAATCTGAAGAATACAACCCGGGGGTACAAAATGACCCCCAGGACGTACGGACAGGTTAATTCTGTGGATAGAGCGACGCGTACGTTCGACTTTCGGTTTTGTTTCAGCAACCT